GAGCAGGTTCCTCTGTGTACTGAAGATCACAGACAATATGCTACGTTTCTTCTCATGCACTTGTCGAGGGCTTTGGTCATACTCTGGACTAGATGAAGGACACGGCTGAGGACAGATTAAAAATCAGCCAAGGTGTTAGTGAGAAAGAGCTTCAGGTAGGGCCCAAAAGCATACTGGGGATGTTCCAGGAACAAAATGGTGACAGTCCAGTTGATGTAAATGAAGCCCAGAGAACGCAGCAGGAATGAACATCAAAGACCAGGCTAGCCAGGTCCTGGAGCCGGGGCCTCCCAAGAGCTTTGACTTTGATCCTGAGATGGGAGCCACTGCAGGAGGGAAAAGAAACATTTCATGTTTTAAATGAATCATTCTGCATCTTCGGTTAACAATAAAGGTATGAATTTATGTCAAATATAAAGCAAAGACCACCAAGTTGCTGAGTTTATATACTTGCCAGGCATGGAATCTAATCAGGGGAAAGGTTCAAGGCCTGGAAACTCATCAGGGGAAAATCTCAAGAATCAGGAAAAGTCCTGGCTTTTTAAGTGCTAGAAAGAGGAAAGCGGGGGTGAGGTGGGGGGGAGTGTTTCACGGTGGTTGTTAATCAAAGGTTGAAAATCAACACTATGGGGTGGAACAGCATTGATAAAGCATGTCTCTTTGTTCACTGGGCAGAAACAGAGTTCAGGTAGGTCTTAGAAGGGCCTGGCAATGGGGTCAAAGTCCACAGACCTTTGTCAGCTTCCGTTGGTTAGCACCAGGTATGGTATAACATAGCATTCCATTTTGACATCTAATAGGCAAGTGCTGTAAGTGGAAATTTTCCCTTTTACAGGTGGAAACAGGAGGATCTATTAGGAATCTCTAGTAGAAAGCCAGGCAGCTCATGTCGCAGTGGAGGTGGTGATATTCTGGATGTATCTGGAGATACATAAAGAATGACTCCCAGGGTGGGTGTTGATCTGTGTGGACAAATGTTAGAGTCATCTTGGAGATAAGAAGGGCTGTGGGTGGAGCAGGTTTAGGGGAAGGATTTCGCATTCATGTGTGTTTAAGATGTCTATTAGACCCAAGAGGGCAACAGCAAAAAGACAGTAAAGTCTGGCTGGTGACATGAAGTTGAAACTTGAAAGGATCCAGATGGTGTTGAATGGCAGGAGACTGGGTACATTCACCTGGGAAGCCAATGAAACAGAACTCCAAAAAGTCCAACAGTATTCTTTCTTCCTGGTTCCAAATTTAATACATATATTTATATATATACATATTTGATATACATATTTATATATATACATATTTGGTTCAAAATTTAATACATATATTTATATAATACATATATTTATATATATACATATTTGATATGTGTATAATGGATATATGTGTATAGTAGAATAATGAAAGTGTTCTTGTAAGCCTTCTAAAATACTTTTGGAATGATGGAGGGGTATAAGTTGATCAACGAGTTGGGCAGAGTGACGCATACTGTAATGCCACCAACTCCAGAGGCAGAGGCTGAGACAGGAGGATGACTAGTTCAAGGTCAGTCTTAGCAACTTAGTGAGACCCTGCCTCAAAAAAAAAATTTTTTTTAAAAGGGCTGGGTATGTAGCTTAGTGGCAAAACAACCCTGGGTTCAATCCCCAGTACCAAAAAATAAATAATAAAAAAGAAATTGATCAACGATGTTTGAAAGTCCACTGTGCCTAGTGTTTTGAAAAAGGCATAATAATAATCACTTTTGACAATCTTCTTTGAGCAAGGCACTATTCTATATGTTTTATAAACACATTTTGCTTAATATCTGCAAATTTCTTAGTTACAAAACCCATTTTACAGAGGAGATGGAGGCCAGAAAAAAAATCAAGTAATTTGCCCAGCATCCATTCCATTTGGCTGGAATTGAAGCCAAAATGTATTTGAGTCTCTTATAACTCCACCTCCAGTGGTAATTTACTAATGTGGGTAGAGAGCAAAATGAACAGAAACTGAGGTGTCCCCACAGATTGCAACTCCTGGCATGAGTCAAGTTAGTGCCATGGTCTTCAGCCTGGAGCCTGTTCCCCAATCCCCCATTTGTCAAAACAACAATTGAAGTTTGTTACAGAGGCCTGGCTAGTGGGGGAGGGGCAAAAAACCAGGTCTGGCCACTCACTCCCAAAACCACACAGAAAAGAAAACTTTAATTGATATGGCCATACTCGGAAGACCAAAATTAGATTCAGCAGCTCAGCCCTGTCTCCAGGGTGCTGTGCTAACAGGGCCTTAGGTTTTAACAGGGGAAGAGTGCACACTTTGGCAGCACACATACTAAAATTGGTACAATATAGAGAAGATCAGCATGTCCCTTGTGCAAGGACATGCAAATTCATGAAGCATTTCACAAATTAAAAAATACAGGAAGTAAGAATTTGGGGAGGGTGAGGCAAGAGGTTAGTATAATCAAGCAGTCTTGGTCAAACTGTGGTCTGGTTGATCAATCTCTGTTCTCTTTCTGTGAGGCGATGAGGTGGCTCTGGAGAAGTTCTGTGTCACTGGAGGGTGGAGGGCAATTTCCACTGGTTGCTCAGGATGCGCATCTATCATACCTGTGATTCTGAAAGGGGGCAATGACTGGGGACTTCCAGGCACCACTTATAGGGGTCTGAAGTTGGATGTTGCAAATCTTCAAGGGGGACAATTGAGGTTAGCTAAATTACTAAGTTATTACCAGTTTTTAGATGAATACTTCTTAAATGATTAACATGTCTAACTGCAGAGCTGAACAAGAACTAAATCCAACGTTTAAGATAGCAAAGGAGTCAGATACAAGATGAAGGCAGAGAGGCCAGGCTTTATCCTACTTTTAGTTACTATTAGGCATATGCAGACCTGAAGAGTCACTGCTTTTAGCAAAGGTAACCTAAACTGCTATTAACTATCTAAACCTAGAGTCTCTGACTCCACAGATCTGGATTGTGGCTTGCTGATTTGCATTTCCACTGAGATCCCAAGTGCTGCTGCTAGGGATAACACTTTGAGAAACACTGGTTTAGCCCGTAGCAGGTTTTCCCTGCCAGCTAAATAGCCTCTACCTTCCACATGCCCAGGCTCTTGAAAGCCCAAAAGAGAAGGGAAGTTCACAACTCAGCTGCAGGAGGGTCTGGAGGATCTGGAGACACTTGAGTGTCCTGGCAGGGAGCAGATGGTGGGGCAACAGTGGCTCAACTCCAGGAGCTTGCCAACACACAGGTTAGCAAGTTGTCTAAACGATAACTTCTTTTACTACTATATTATACTACCAGTGGTCTCATCAGCCTTTCCTGGCAAGAAACTTCCATCTCTTGTGAAGGAGAGAGTTCAGTTATGGTAGTTCTTTAAAGCTTACCCAACTAGTGGAAGGGTGCCTTTAAGAACAAGAATATAAACTTAAAAAAAAACAACTAGTTGCTGGGCCTTGGAAGAAACTTGTGCAAGAGGGGTACTGCAGCCTAAGCCTCATTAGCTTCATGGGATTGAGTTCTGATCAGACTTGTCTGTATATGTCTAAGCTCCAATTATAGACATATGCAAGTTATTTCCCATGAGACTCCTGTGCTTCAGGCTAATATAGAAAGTGGTTGATTCCTGCCTAAGCGAACTTGAGCATTTCATGGTTCGAGAGGCTTGTTTGCCTTGAACCTGGCAATGGGGGAAGGGCTACTGCCTCCACACTGCCTCAAGTAGGACTGTTGAGGGACTTATCCTTGAACTTGATTTTTTTCCATGAGTTCAAAGCCTTTTAGAAATCTTTCCTTTTTTAAAAATTCATCCTCAGCCTTTAAAATTTTTTTTTTTCTTTTTAATTGAGACAGCCCAGACTGGCCTTGAACTTGCAATCCTTCGGCTTCCGCCTCCTAAATTGCTAGGATTATAAGCATGCCTATAGCGCCTGTCCCTTTAGTGAAGTCTCTGAAATCTTTTCTTATCTGGTTTGTTCTAAGACATATAACGGGAAAACCTGGCTTTGTGAATCTAGTGACACTCTGGGCCACCAGCTGAGCCAAGTAAAAGGGTGCTGGACTAGGAGTTGGGGGCAAGACTCAAAGATGAGTAAAGAGTGACTCCTTCACATCCCCAGGAACACCAAGAACCTCAACCTGAGATGGAAAAGGCATCTAAGAGACATGATGTGGCTTGTGAAGGAGACAGCGTTTGATTTGGGCCTTTTAAGAAATATAGGAGTAAACGCCTCTGAAGAAGCATTCCTAGACAGAGAAAGCCAGCATGGCCCCTGGGTGTGTGTGTGTGTGTGTGTGTGTGTGTGTGTGTTTTTTCTCCTAAAGAACACTTTCCCTCCGGGGTCTTGGGGCAAGAAGGGCACAGGCCAGAGGATGCCAAAAAGCACCTCCTGAGTAATGGGGAACCACGAAGATGAGGAGTCCCAGTCCTGAAGCACCACCAAGAACTGAGTCAGACCCGGGGTATTCTCGACGTCAAAGCGACCTAAAGGCAGAGGCGCCATCAGAAGGAATCACTGAAATGCATTTTTCGCGCTTGGCCTGGGGTCTAGACCGGCACTCAGGCACCTGGAAAGTTCTCGCATTGCAGCACAGACGAGAGCGCCCCGGCGTCGGAGCGCCCAGGAGCCCCGCCCCCCAGCCCCGCCCCCCAGCCCCAGCCCCAGCCCCAGCCCCAGCCCCAGCCCCAGCCCCAGCCCCAGCCCCAGCCCCAGCCCCAGCCCCGCCCACGCCCACTGCGGCTGCGCGGCGGGGCTGCCCGTCTCCACGTGATCGCCGTCACGCCTCCACGAAGCGTAAGCGGCCATCATAAGTCCTGGCGGCCGGGCCTGGGCCTGCCTCCCTTCTCTATGGCCGGGCAACGATGATGGGGTCGGGTTGTGTGGTCCCAGACCCGTCTGGCCGGTAAAGCCGTGAGTCTCCGAGAGTGGTACAAGTAATTGGGACCCACGGACTCTGGGGCAGAAAGACAGGCCCAGGTGTCGGCACGGCGGGGGCGGTGCCCAGAGCCGAGCCCCGCCCCTCGCAGGCCAGCGCCCAGGGCCCGCGGTCCTTGCCCGTTTCCAGTATGGCCGCCCGCTGTGCTTGACCCGCGGCCTCTCCGTTCCGGCTCCTCGTAGGCGATGCTGAGGCCGAGGCCGTGACTGACACTCTCGCTTACACGCACGCACGGACCCAGACCCACGCCTGAGCCCGAGCCGTGGGCCCGGAACCGCTCTCGCTCCCGGCACCGCGGCCGGATCCCGGACCACGGCTCCCGCGCCGCCGCGTCGCCGAGAAGGGCCGCGCCGGAGCTCGAGCGCGGCGGCCCCCGGCCGGCAGCGATGGGGAAGCGGGCGGGAGGAGGAGAGGGAGCCGCCGCCGCCTCCGCGTCCGCCGGGACCGGGCTGGAGCCCGCGGCCGGCCGCGGCGGGGGCCCGCGGAGCGCGGCCGCCGGCTTCCTGGGAGCGCTGCACCTGGTGATGACCCTCGTGGTGGCCGCGGCGCGGGCCGAGAAGGAAGGTGAGTGTCCGCCGCCGGCACCCACTGCCGCTGCGCTGTCACCACTCTCGCGGAGGCCGCCGCGGGGCTGCGACCGGGGAGGCCGCGTCGGCCCCGGCGCGAAGTTGGTGGGTCGAGTCCCGTCCCGGGCCGCGAACTTGCAGCTCGGAGGCCAGCTCGCCGCGTCGGCCGCGCGGAGTTGCTCCCGAGCTCCGTGGTCTCTTCCCCTTGTCCCCTGTCACTGCCATTTCCAAACTTCCCGAGCTCGAATGTTCTTGCCGCTCGGCCCGCTATGCTGTGTAGGAGGGGCATAGTTTTTAAGCCCAATTGTTGCTAATAGGTAAATCTTAGAACACTTTTTTTTTGGGGGGGCGGGTGTTGCATTTTTAATAACGGCGTACAGACGGAGCTCACTTTAAAATGCCATGGTAAAAATAGCAAGATTGGTGAAAAGTCTTCAAAACACGGCTTCCAAAATTTGAATCTGTTCAGAGGTCTCTTTGAGGGTAGTCTTGTTTCTTTGGCTTCCTCCTTCACTATCGCTTTGCGGTAGTGGTGATCCTTTAGCTTGTTAGTAGGTCTGAGTACAATTCCATTTAACTCTCTAGTAGCTATTGAAAGCCAGTTTGTTTCTTACTTATTTTAAAGTCACATATAATTCGGTGCCTCTCTCTTTGATGTGTAAGAGTTTAAAATCGAGTAAATTTTCAGCTTGCAAACCTTTTAACTATAATTTACAGTTAAGGGCTGGCCCCTATTTTTAAAACTCATTAGTGTTGTCTGACTGTAAAACTGGCACTTTGATGGGGTCAGAAGTTATTTTAAAATCCTGACCACCCAATTTGTGTAAATTTGTCTCTACTACCTGTTTTTGAGCCTAGGGGAATATAAGTGGTCACAGAACTGTAATGAAGAAGTCACTAAAAGTGATTTTTTTTTTTTTTGTTTTAAGAAAACTTGGCAGTTTAGCTTCTATTTGACATTAACTCCACAACAAAATAATTTCTTGCCATGGTGACTTTAGAGTTGATGTTCTACTTGCTTTTTAATGTTATTGACGGCCACAGCAAATGCCAACCAAATTAGAGATCAAGTGCAAATGTGCTTCAGTTTACCATTTATTTTTGTTGAAAACGTAGGTTACATTCCCTCACTTTCTAAGCAGCCTTAGCTTGGGTTAACATAGGTGGAAATTTTTCAGATAGTCGCCATCTATACCAAGGATTAATTGACAGAGGCAAGATTATTTCCAGGGTAGAATATTGCTGCTTTAGGATTAGTCAGGCCTAATCATCATTGTTTACAGATGTGCAGTTATTGAGTATTCTTACTGTTTGCCTGTCCTAGACGTTCGGGCATGTCAGGGTGTTCTGTAAACCCACAGTGGTACAATAATTTAATGGGCACGTCTCCTTGACTTCACACAGACCTGGTGGGGGTGGGGTGTTGTGTTCTTGTCTTCCTGTTCCTTTGCTTACCTTCCACAGTGCCAGGCACATAGAAGGCACTTAGCCTTTGAGTGAATGAATATCTTCATGAGCTGTTAGCCCAGGGAACCAGAGTCATGATGGAGTGTAGTAAAGTATTAGATTTGTATTATCCTTCTGCATATCTTCCCAACAGCCATTTTATATGCTAAATCTCCTTGTTCAGTTAAGTAAACAAACCTCTTGTTTGACAACTGTCAGCCTAAAATATATTTGCTAAGTTCTCATTTTTGTAGTTTCCAAGTTCTAGCACACCTCTCTAATATCCTTAAATGTATGTAAGGCTCATCCAGGAGAATAGCTTTCAAAGTGTTAAGTGGAAAAAGAAGTGGTTCAGCCAGCCAGTGGGCCTTTGTGGCCCCTGCAGTATCTGTATCAACAATGTGTGTGAGCAAAGTAATGTAGAACATAGGCCTCTGCCCATCATTAACGGGTCTGGTTCTAATCAAATATTCCCTAAGATATCCCTACAAATGGCCTGGGCTGTAAACTTTCTTGCTGATCAAATGCTAGTGTTTTTGAATAAGTAGGGGAAATGCCATTGATTTTTCTTACATGATTGTGACACTGTGAATTTGGCATCTGATGTGGTGCAAACATAACATTTGCCCTAAAAGAGTGTTGTTGGGGCTTTTCAGCAAGTCTGGGCAGATTTCTGAAGATAGCTCAGTTGAGTTTGTCTGTTTATCCCCTGAGGATTCTTTATAGCTAAACTAATTTTCTGGATATTTTGTATGTTTGTGTATTTTTTCTGCATTGCAGTAGAATTTCACTAGGAAATCTTCAAAAGAAAACGCAAAGAAAAGGGACACTTTTCTTTGTGTCCCTTTGTACACTTAACACTTTGGACACTTATCTTTGTGTCCCAAAGAAAAGCTGCAGACATAGCTAAATTGTCTAATGCAGTTTTTTGTGTTAGAACTAAGTGTTCTCTTTTTTGAGTTGGAGCATGAGCCATTTCTTGTCCTAACATCCTGTGTCTTTTAACATTCCTGTATCTTAACATCCATCTTAACTGATCTTGGGGTGTGTTATCGCTAGTCCAGAGGAAAGGGATCTTTGACACTGTTTGGGCTGTGTTCAAAAGTTTGTAAGGACTTTGAAATAATTGCCAGAGGTGGAACTTACTATAATTACTACAGATAACTCACTCACTCTGAGTTGGTGTCAAGATCTTTCTTGAGGCTAGGATCTAGATACTAAGAATAGTGAGTGTATGTGTGCGGAGGAGAGTGAAAATATCTTATGTAGAGTGAAAATATTTCTGTGTGTATATATTTGGATACTTTTTAGTTTCTTTTCAGGTATAAATCAGCCCATTATGACAAGCAAATAAGAGTTAATTCAAAAAAGCCTCTTACGTATAACATAGTTTGATGGTGAAATGGGTTTTTGGAAGGCATGGTGTCTTTTAATTTATGATAAAGGAGCTATAATGTAGATATCTATTAAATGTAAACTTGGACATTTTCCATGGTTGTTTCAGTTCCTGAAATTTAAATCTGAATTTCACATGTGTTATCATTAATTGGCGATTGATGGCAGGGTAAAGTTTGACAGTTTTTATTAGTACTTAAAATTTTTTTGCTGGTGCACTGTAGTTTGGTGTACACATATTTGTTTTAAGCTATATTTGTGGCATAAGTGCTGAAGAATGGTAGAAAGGATTTTCTACAGAGCATAAGGACAAGTGCTTAGGACTAAGGCCAGAAGAATAGAGATACAAATGGAATAGTGATTTGCCTTAGGGTAGTAGAATTGATTGGGGAGAGAGATTTTTTTTCTTAGCCAAATTATTACTTTATAATGTCAAGATATATTTTAAGGAGTCTTTCTGAAGAGTGAGATACTCCCTTTGTGTGGAGATAGAGAGACTACCTTTTAGGGCCTACGAAAAGAGAAATTACTAAGCACTTTACTAATGAATTTCAGTGTTTCCTAAATGCTGCTGCACCCTGTGAGGAGGACTGGAGACCATAGTGGGAAGCATTGGCCTCCCTCCTCTGGCTGGTAACTGTTTTCCTCTGCATTGTCATTCTTAAAATGGAGCCTCATAGGCACCTGCCCAAAAGCTCAGCTTTGGGAGCAGACGTAAAATTGTCCAATTTGCCATCCAGGGAAGTGATCACTACATTTGGGGAAAAAATGAAGTCTTTGCTGGTCTTTGATACTTTAAACTCACCTCATGTAACCTGAGCTTTCTGAGAGCTTTGCCATACTAAGAGGTCCCCTTTCTGTCTGACCTCAGCAGCACTGGGCCTGGTTTTTATTCTGGATTTTGGACATCTTTGTGCCCCAGCTGTCCAGTTGCCCATCATATGTCCTTGTCCATTTGTGTCCAGGCCAGGGTTATCTGGCACCCACCTTAGTTACCCAATTTTTATTAATGCCACCATTATTCTTCTGCCACAGCAAACTCATTTTTGACCCTTTACCCAGTAGTATCAGTGCCTGTGAGGCCCTGTGTCCCTCAGCTCTCCCTTGCCCTTTGGTCTCCAGCTGGGGCACTGCAGGAGGCTCTTACTTGCTACGCTTCCCATTTCAGTTCAGTCCTGGTGCTCCTCTGAACTCCAGATGTCTTGGCTACTCACTCATCTTGACATTCATGAACTGCCCATTTAGATACTGAAACAATTTCACCCAGACTGGAATTTCTATAGGTCAGAACCTCTGTCAGCATCTGCAGTGAGTACATAGTTTTGAATGAAGATTTGCCTAAAATGACCTCATCCTCCATTTTTTATACCTGTTACTTAGGTTTAGAGTCAAGAGTACAGGTAAAGGCAGGAGGGTGCAGTGACATAATCCCCATGACTCAGGAGGGTGTGGGGAGGATTTCAAGTTCAAGGCCTCTTGCAATTTAGCAAGACCCTGTCTCAAAATTTAAAAATGTAAAAAATGATGAGGGTTGTAGCTGAGTGGTAAAGCACTCCTGGGTTCAGTCCCCTGTACAAAATAAATAAGTAAACAAGAAACCTACAGTTGAAAACCTCAACTTAGGTGCAGATGTCATTAGGAAGTATGCTGTAATAGGACATGGAGCGGTGCCACCTTTGTCTTCCCCACATGTTGCTTCTGCTTGTAATTAAAATGAACTGCGGATACTTGCGAGACCATCACCCACGTGGCTTTTGGATTTTAAGATTTTCAGATTCTCTTAAAACCCCAGTGTGTAGATTATGCATGAACCTGAGGCTTCGAGAGGTTAATATACCCAACATTAGGTGGGCACGGTGGTGCTCACCTGAATCCCAGCTACCTCAGAGGCTCAGGCAGGAAGAGCACAAGTTAAAGGCCAGCCTAGTCAACTTAGTGAGGACCTGTCTCAAAACTCAAAAAGACTGGGATGTGGCTCAGTGATAGAGTGCTAGTCTAGGACACACAGCTCTTGGGTTCAATCCCCAGTGCTGTCTCCGCCGCCGTTTGGCAATGGAGCTGATAAATGATAGGGCCAGGATTCCATCCCAGACCATCTGTCCTTAGAGCCAAATCCTGAATGAATACTTAAGGATGTACATTTTATTATATTATGTA